TTATTTACTTTTTAATGTACGTAGGTATACTTTTGTATGTTTCTATCTTTAGTGAAGTATGTGTGTACACATACGTATGTATGTATTTTTTTTCACATATTGTTATATATTTGTACTCGTGTATGTGTACTAATACGTATATAAGTATATATGAGATATTTATATATATTTCTGTGTTTTAGGAGTTTTCTTATCTATTCAAAAATTTAAATTCTTTTTTTAATGCGTATATATTTACTTTTCTATCCATTTTTATATATTTTAGTGTCCTTTTTCCTTATGTTGTTCATTGACGAATATTTGTTTTTCCATTGTACCCATATTAAATTTTATCTATTCAACCATTTTTATCTATATACCTTTACCCGTATAAGTTATATTTTAATAGTATCTTAGGATTCGTTTAATAACACTTTCAAATTTGAATATTTCTTGGTGTGTATATGTTCGTGTTTTTATCAATATATGTGTATAATCGTTTATATGTGCCTTTGATTGTCTTTTTTTGTTGTAAGGGTCGTGGACACCTATTTCCTGTTCCGTCGCTTTTTCGCGTGTGTATACATCTAAATATATCTACGTGTTTGTGTATTATAATCTGATTGTGTATGTATTGTCTTTAGCAAGATCTCACCCTCCTCTGCCCATATCTTCACTTCAAATGTATCTAAGTTGTAACGAAGCTCAGAGCAACATTAGATTTTAACGTTTATTCCAACTTAATTTTTGGTCTTTCAATAAAAACAAAATAAATAACAAAACAAAGGGTTTTTCCACAGTTTCTTCTTTAAATAATTTTATAATTTTTTAAACTTAATATAGATTAAATTTAATATTTAAAATTGGTGATTTTGAATTTTATAGTATAATTTGATATTTATTAGTTAGAATGAATTCTATTTTAGTCTAACCCTAACATTAAAGCATTAAATAATTTTTTAACCAAAGTTCTTTGTCAATTTTTTTGTATTCTCATATACTTATATTTTGATTGGTCATTCCAGCGTATGTAACGGCGTTTCCCCTAGCAAGGGGTGTTTCATAGATTTGAACTTTTTAAAACCCTTTATTCTACATTCAACACCATCACTTGATAAGACACAAGAAGTGTTGAAACAAAATGGCTATTTTTGTATTGATTTTATAACATATCTATGTTATAATTTTCGAATAAATAATTATATTAGCTCTACTCTGTATTGAGCACTCTTTTAAGAATGGTATTTTTTTGTTTATTGGAATTTATTCCCTATACACCTATCCTATGCTTGTGTGTTAGACACTTAACCAGACTAGACGATGTCATCTCCCGCTTTGAATTTAGACACCCCAACCTTACCCTGACTTGACGTCTGTGAATGTAACTGAGATATTGATACAAATTATATTAACCCTTACGCCCCTTTTTCTTTAAACAATTGCTCTAGCCGTTACCATAGTAATCTTAATTTCAATAATGAATATACTTATAAAACGCGTAAATTTCAGGAATAAGTTATTCAAAAAAAAAATTCGCTTGAAGATGGAACAGAGATTGGTACTTTAATTCAATTTAATTCAAATAATTATATTGAAGTTTTCGGCTCTTGTTTTGAAACATGAGAACTCTTATGTAGCGCCGGAATCATATTTTTAAATAAATAATTATATTAATGCTCTACTTTTGTATCGAGCACTATTTTTAAAAAAATAATAACAAAAATGCTAAATAACTTTGGATTATTTACCTAACGAGTTCTTTCCTATTTTCTATATATTTTTACACACACACAAATACAACGTATTGTTTCTCAGTTCAATGTGTTGAACTACGGAAAATCCTCAATATCTTTTCTATTCAATCAATTCGATGTCCTAACACTCTCGGCATATAAGGCTGAATGCTTTGCTCGGAAAATCTCATCCAATTCAAAACACGACTCATCCGGGGTACCCACAGTTGATTTCTCTCCTGGAACTAACGCTATACTGAGTGAGATATAAATGACACCCTCAATGGTATTAGACATCATCTCTAAATATACCATGTGTTGGTGATGGGATACCAGCTGTAGTCATAAAGAAATCCTCCACTAAGCTGTCTCCAGTTTTCTCCAGACTATACAACTATTAACTCGTCGATTCTTGTTTTCCTGCCTGTTAGAAGTCCTCCTCTGTCGCCCCGGTCTTTAAGAACTCTGGAGACTCTTCTGACCCATCTAACTACCGTCCCCTCAGTCTCCTTCCACTCTTCGGCAAAGTCTACGAAGCTTTAATCAATGCCGAAGACGTTAAGCATGTCACCTCCCACGATCTGCACTGTGACAAAAGATATGGTTCCCGCCTTGCCCGGTCTACCGTTGATGTGCTTACGGCCATAACTGAATATGTACACAAAGCTCTTGATAATAATGCCGAAGTTCGAGCTGTTGTTCTAGATATATCGAAGGCGTTGGACAGGCTACGGCCTGCTGACCGTCTACTTAACTTTAAGGGACACTGTACGACAGGACGAATATTT